CTGCTGAATTATTTCTCTGCCAATTCAGCAAACTCAGCCAAATCAGGGGTCAGATGTCTCTGAACGAGTGCAAAGCAACAGCAGAAGGAAAGTGGCAGAAGAAAGAGGAAGACTGCCATGTTTTGGTGGCAGTGAGCCATTAGGTTGATCCAGCTGTGTTGTAAAACCTTACCATGAGGCCCTCATGTTCCCATGAAAGCATGTGGGTGGGCAGACTCTTTTTATATTAAGAATTCAGCCTGCACAGGCAACAAAAGACACGTAGAGCTTACTATCATGGTCGCAGGCAAAATAAACTTGTGGCTGAATGGTAAACTTTTTTTAATAAAAATTGTTGTGTGTGTTTAAACTTTAGAATTAATAAAATGAAATGGGTGTTGGGACTTTGCAGCTGTTCTTTTCTGTCCCCTGAACATCGTTGTTGGCTTACATTAATCCTGAAGTTGAACTTTGAGCACCTGTGGAATGATGATCTTGAAGAGGTGCAATGATGTGAAACACGAGGTTTCTTGTGCTAGTGCCCTTAGACTAGCAGAGAAACACACGTGATTCTGCTTGTGTCATACCTACATATTGCTGTAAATTACATAAAGAGAACTAAATTGCTTGAAAGTACTGTTTCTGTTTAAATTCACTCATGATCACAGAAAGTATGGAGGAGTTGTTTACATTATTATAGAATCTGTATGCTTCTTTTTATTATATTAATCAACCTATATTTTTACAGATAGAGAATAGAAAAGTTTCTTATATGAAGTTATTCACTACTGAACAAGAAAATAGAGGGTTATCTTCTTATAGAAATCTTAAAAATATGAAGTAATACCAATTAAAAAATGAATGATTGAAAGCTGTTGTAGTCATACTGACTTTGGAAAAAAAGCCTAAAGAAATGTGTCATCTTGGTAATCAGAATAACAACAAAAAGTTTGAACAGATAGAAATTCTTTTTTAATGAATTCCATTATCTTGAGAACTTTCTTCTTTTTAAAGGATATTTATTGGTTTCATTCAGTATTCTCTCTTCTCATGTTTAGGTAGGAATAACTAGAGAGATGCTCACCTGTGTAAGAAAATAAAGCATTGCAATTAAGGGTGGTGAAACACGAAGTTTTCAAGGTAGTTGGGGATGTGTGGAGTATTTGTGCTTCTTTTATAAAATGTGTGATCATGTCAAGGAAAGGGTTGTTTTCTCCCGTGTTACTGCTGTACAGCTAAAATATCTGTTCATTTCCCTTTAACAATCAAACATCCATTCAAAGTAAGAACATTTTGCATTCTGAATGCATTTATTTAATAGAATCAGTATTTCCTTAAGCCACTTGTTTTTTGTTTTTTTTCATGTGACATTGTGGAATGAAGAGCAAAGCATTTAGGGTAGCTAATATTTTTCAAAGGCTGGGTGAAGTGACTTTGTTTCTGCAGTGAGCAATCTCTTCAAGTGGGAAATCTGTTTTGTATCATCTGAATGGAAGAAGGTTGTCGGCAGCCTTCAGTCTTGATCCAGGATTTGGAGTCCAAAAAGCATCACCTTGGATTTCAATTCCCCTCCATTCAATGCTTCCCTCAGGCACTGAGAGCATATCCTTGGAGTTCATTATTTATTTTTTTTTGGTGGTCTTATCCACCTGTTTGTCTTTAGCACTCTTTTTTGCTTTGTTCATTTTTGGCCCAGTTTCTCTGTTGGGAAACAAAGTGGTAGAGCTGCAATAGAGGAAAACCTTTGTGTGTTGCCAGCTAAAGGCTCGTGTTCAGATTTTATTTTACAGAATACAAATCCCTGTGAAACTAGCTTCAAAAAGAGACTGCCTTTGCTCTGCTGAGCAAAGAACTGCAGGATTTTTATTTCCTTGTTAGATTATTAAAAGCAATAGTTCCCAGAGTGGCCTACTTAAACTTCACAAGTAGACACAAGTGTAAATGATTGTTCTAATGTTTGTAGTTACCATAAGTTTTATGTTTTTAAAAAAATGCATTGTTTCTGGGCCAAGATTACATGTAGCACCTGTTGGTTTATTGAATATTGTCCTATCCTACCCTATGCAACTGAAGTCTAAAATGACAGCTACAAAGTGTGCACCAGCCCATACTGAGGTCACATCCATACAGGCAGAAAGCCCAATGCCTTGTAAAGTCACACAGCAAAGCAGCTGGCAAGAAACTCCACTGCACTCTGCTTGCTGTGGTGGGTCCCTGAATCCTGTGCTGCTGTTGAAACTTCAAGGGAAAGCTGATCCTGGAGTTAGTTCTGACAGTAGGAATGTAGGACAGCTATGCTACACTTCTGTAAACAGTTACTGACTCTTGCTAAAAGTAAAAATTTTCACTGTTCCACATTTCTACTCTACCACTGTTTTTGGGCAGTTCATCCTTTTCTCTCATTTGATCTTGTACTCATTAGATAGTTGTCTGTGCAGTTGCAGTTCATATTTTGCTATGTTGGTTAGTTGCATAAGCTCTTTGAAGAGTCCAAGAGGTGCTGGAAAATAGCTTAAGGTAGGTGGTAGAACTGCATGACCATCAGAGGCATTTTAGGGACCACAAGCTATGAGATTGGTTCTCAGCCTTGTGCAGCTGCATCCAAAGCAAGAATATAAAAAATGTGTCAGAGTCTGAAATTAAATTTGTTTTCTCTATCATAGAATAAATATCTTAATGTATGTATGCTAGCTTACCCACGGATAGATGGTATGATGATATATATGTAAAGTTTATATATTTATTATTTATACTTTTAAATATTGTCTTTTTACATATTTATTGTTTTACTAGTATTTAATATTTTGTTTTATTTTTTACTTAAGCCTTAGTTATTTTAGAACAGAACCTCCTGTTCTAGAACAGAAGACCTCTACAGAGGTCTCTAGAACAGAACCTCTACAGACCTGCTAAGTTTGTAGACAGTACTAAGCAGAATAGCGTGGCCTGAACTTGCACCACAATTTCACAAATACATTTATTTTTATTTTCTGTCTTGGCTTAAGCAGCCTCCTTCCTCCAGCTGCTGGTTTCCAGTCCTGTGCAACCCCTCACTTGCCAGCACACCTGTTTATAAAGCCATGTGATAAACTAAACTGGAGAGAAGGTCTTGGTTGGAAAAAAAATACAACAAAAAAATCCCCTTCCTTCCCCTCACAAACAGTGGCTGGGCAAATGGTTACATACATGCAACAGGAGGAATATGAGATAATGCCAAATAAGATGGTGTTTTTGCTGAAATAAATATTTATTATAATATAGTCTCATTTGGGGCTTTAAAGTGCCAGTAAAGCTACTGTGGATGCACTAGCTAATCAGACTGAGCATGCATTGCCAAAGCAGCTAAGCCTGTCTCCTTTCTCAGCCTGTGCTCAACTGTTTTTGCATGACATCCCAGCAGAAACCTATTGCCCTTTTTGTTGGCTTAGTTTTCTGCTGACTTAACACAGAAGCAGTTCAGCCCAGAGTCACAAAAACACCGGAGTTGGTGCAAGGGAGGGTGAGCTGGAACAGCCAGCAGTGAAAAACCAATCTGTTGTCTATCCCACTGTTCGTGTGACCGTGTGCCATGGGCAAGGAAAAAAAAAATAAAAATAAAAATAAAATCCTCCTAAATTGTTCTTTTAAAATTTCTTTTGAAACCTTACTTTCTCTCTCTGGCCTGCATAGCCTATTTCTCTGCTTGCTTTGCAGCTGGAATTGCAACATGCTGTGCCTTTTGAGTAGTGTCGGTTACAACGATGTAGATGGTCTGGTTTAAAAAAATCTTAACAGAGTTTAACCATTAAGTCCCGTTGTGAACTCTTACTAATTGAAGGCATTCCCTGCTTCAGTTTCAGGTATCCAAGTGAATCAGAGACCCTCATTAAGTTCAAGACAGCCCAACCCTTTAGCTCAACTTGTCCATTCCCTCTTCCCTGAGCCTTGTTGCTACGTACTGCCAACTCAGTCGTTTAGCTCTAATTTTGCATTCTCTTGGTCTTGAGTTTTGCCACTGAACTTTTAGGACAATATCTTGACTAGCACTAGGTGGCTTGCACTTGTTTTTCTTCTCAGCCTTTTACTGCTTTTTTGCTGCAACTTCCCCCCATTCTTGCTGTGAGCAAGCATAGCCCACTGAGGACGCCTCTTGTGCTGCACGGCAGCTGGGCCACACGTGTCAGCCGTGCTAATGGCCAGGGAGGTGTTGCACTGTGCCACACTGAACGTGCCAACCTTCACAGTTGCTGTCAGAGCTTTGTTGTCTCTCATGTGTCTCTTCAGGCCCTCTGGCAGCAGCCTCAAGTCTGTTTCTGATATTTTATTTTCCTTTTGTACAAATGGTTGCCTACACTGGCCTGTTTAATCAATTCTACGTCACTTTTGGCTGAACTTCATTGTCTAACAGCAAGGACAGCTTGGCAGAAAAAGGAGCCTGGCATTTAGGCTGAGTCTTG